GAGCTACGGCTCGCGGCAGCCCCAAAGCGCCACGCTGTGCGAAAGGACGGACTCAGAGAGCCACGCCTGCACCGGGCAGCTCCTGGAGACGAAGCCGACTGGAGGGGGCCGGGGGCCGGGGGAGTGGCCGCGGTGGCCCCGGGCTGCCGTCGGGAGAGCCGTGAGGGCTGCGGGACACTGCGAGTGCCGTCCGTGCCGCCGGACCGTGCACGGGAGCACTTCCAAAGCGGCAAACCTCACGTGGGCCGTGTTTTACCGCAACAACAAGGATCTGCTCCAGGTTGTGACGGATTCTCTCAAGTGCTCAGTGCCACGCGGGGCCCCGCAGCTGGAATCCCACCCTGCGCCTGCGATCCGTCTGGGTCCCCCAGACTCCCCGGATGGGTGCGGCGAGCACCCAGGCATCAAGAGGCGATCCACTCAGCCAAGCCCCGTGGCCGGGGGGTGGGGGGGGAAGGTCTCCGTCCGCGGGGCCAGGACTCGCAGCTCCGGGAAACGGACACCTGCCCTCGGCATCCCCTCTCCTCCGAGCCCACCGCGGCCCACGGGGTCATCTCCGGTCTGGGACTCCCTGCTCTCGACCCCTGCACGACCTTGTGGAGGGGAAGAAAGACCCCGGGCACCCCTTGGGCGCCCCACCCCTTCCCGGTCCTGTCTCGCGACATCCCCATTTCCAGATGGGAAAACTCGGATCCGGAGCCCCCACCCGCCCCAGCCCAGGGCCCCAGTTCTCATCCACAGCATGGCGGGGCTGCTGGTCCCCTGCCTGCCTCCCCACACGGCCTGGGAGGTGGGGGCCCGGGGAGAGGGGCCAGGCAGGCTGGAGCCTGGATCACTCCCTCCACCATGCTCTGCCCCCGGAAGCCCTCCCCCAGCCTCTGGCTTGCCTGCGGCCCTCCTCTGGGTCTCTGGGCCTAAACCCAGCCGGGAACGGCCTGGGATCTTCCCGCCGTCTGGTCCCCTGCGAGGGTTCACCAGGCAACACCTGTCCCAGGCTGGCCCCGCCTCGGGCGGGCGTTTGGAGTCTGAGCAGCTGTCACCAGCTGGGAAGCAGGGGCCTGCGCGCCACCTCTGGGATTCAGCCCAGCCCTCTCCTCCTCCGGGCAGCCTTCCTGGATCACACCAGCCTTCCTCCCACCCATCTGCGCGTTCAACAACCATTCACCGAGCACGGACGGAGCCAAGAGGGAGGCACCCGCGAGGCAAGGAGCTCACGGTCCAACAAGGGGGCGAACACTTGCAGGCGTCGCAGCATCCGGCAAGGACTGAGTGCCTGTGCTCCCGCCGGCCCCCGTGTGCCTCCTGATAGCCCTGCGGGAGGAATGTGGCCCAGAGAGGTCAGGTGTGGCGCTGAAGGTCACACAGCACCGGGTGCCAGCGTCTCTCTCTCTCTCTCTCTCTCAGTCTCTTTAGATGAAACACTCGCTGTCCCATCCATTCAATGTGGAAAAACCAAGACGATCAACACCGGGTAGGAGGTGACATTCGGGCCTGGCTGGGACAGAGCGCACTAGGAGCCGAGCGCTCAGACCAGAGACAGGGCAGGCGGCTGGGACCACGTCCCTCTCTGCAGATGGGGACACCGAGGCTCGAGCGTCGGAGTGACTCGCTCAGGTCACGGAGCCCACAGCGGCAGCGCGGGGACGGGACTCACGGCTGCCTCTGTCTGGAACCTTCCACCAGGTCCCGCTCAGAGCGAAGCGTGTTTCCTGGCCTTGGCAAGGCAGCCCTGCGTGGGGGCCTGGGCCTTGAGCTCCCAGGACCCCTGCCCCTCCCCGGTCTTCCTCTTCTCCCTGGGCAGCGCCTCAGCCATAGCTTTGTCACACGGCACAGCCCCGGGTCATCCTGTCAGAATGCAGGGTTCTGGGGCCGGCGCTGTGGCACAGCAGGCAAAGCCACCACCTGCGACGCCAGCATCCCACATGGGCACCAGGTTGAGGCCCGGCTGCCCCACTTCCAATCCAGCTCCCTACTAATGTGCCTGGGAAAGCAGCAGAAGACGGCCCAAGCGCTTGGGCCCCTGCACCCACGTGGGGGACCCGGATGAGTCTCTGGGCTCCTGGCTTCGGATCAGCCCAGCTCTGGCTGTTGCAGCCATTTGGGGAGTGAACCAGCAGATGGAAGATCTCTCTCTCTCTCTCGCTCTCTCTGTAACTCTGCCTTTCAAATAAATAAATAAATATTTTTAAAGAAATGGAAGATTCGGACCCAGCAGGGCTGGGGTAGGGCCTGGGGTGAGGCGGTGCTGCTGGCCCCGGGACCATAGCCGGGTGGCAAGGCTCCGCCTTCTCCTCCCCTCCCTTCCCTTCCCCTCCTCTCCTCTCCCCTTCCCTCCCTCCTCTCTCTCTCCCTGTCTCTCTCTCCCCGCTGTGTCTCGAGGGGCCCACTGCAGTCTCCAAGGCACAGACAGGGCTCCCCCCCGTCCAGGGGTCCGGGCAGGAGCAGGCTCGCGTGGATTGTGAGGGGCTGCCCCCCGCCCAGCTGTGCCCTCCCCCTCCCCAGGGGTATGAGAGCAGCCACCGCCCTCGCCGCCGCCTCCTCCCTCCCAGCCCCTCATGGAGATTTCGTCCTTGCCCAAGAACCTTCGGCCGAGAGCTCATGCCTATTAATTCCTGGTGTGCGTCTGGAGCCAATAGGTTTTTATTTATTCATTTATCTTGTCTCCCACCCCCTCCCCTTCCTCGCCAGCCTGGAATTTACAATTCCGTTCTCAGGGGGCCTCGCCAAGGACCACGGCTGGAGTCTCAAAGGGGTGGACGCTCCTTGGCTCCTCCGACCCTCAGGGTGGCCCCCGGGGTCACACCCTGACATGCTGGGTGGGACAGGCAGACCCCCCCAGGCCCAGCACCTGCCGCAGGATGGCCCCGAGGACCGCAGGAGCCAGAAGCCAAGGGGCCACTGCAGTAAGGGGGCAGTGGTCCTGCTCGCTGCCGTTAGGGCGCCCCCTGGTGGCCATCTGCAACAGCAGCGTGGGCCTCAGTGGGTTGCATTCTGGTCCCTGAAGACAGAAAAAACCAGGTCCTCCAGGTGCATGGAGGCCATGAAGTCTGAGGAGGGAGGGCCAGGGTAGCCACCAGGGACGTAAAAGCCACAGCAACAGGCTGAACACGTGCTAGGCACCACTGCCTCCCCAGGGAACTGGATCTCGGAGATGGGGACACCCAGAGAAGGGGGCCGTGCCCCCTTGTGGGAAAGCATGTGACTGTGGGACCTGGGCAACCCTGTAGTCCCTGATGGTGGGGATCAGAACAGCGCCCACCTAGGAGATAACGAGGCACACACAGGACCTGCCGGTGCTGTCGGGGTGGGATCCAGGCTGGAGGCGACCCCTGCCCGCCAACCCAGAAGCCAGTACTCCCTGGTCCCCTTATCCCGAGCAGAGGCTGCGTCCCCATCTGCATTGTCCACACGTCTGTAATTCAAGGCGGACCCGGAGCAGCCCCCATGAGATCCGTAAGCCTATCAAACAAGTGGCGCAGCCCCCGAGAGCCCTCCAGACCCCAGGCCGGCTGCCCCGGCTCTGCGGGAGTCAGGAAGGGTGGTGAGCCCCCCCTGCAGCTGCCCTGGGTCCTGGGTCCCAGGAGAGACAGCGCAGGTGCAGGACGAGGGGCATCACGAGCCGGCTTCGGCCAGGAGGGGGCTTCAGACTCGCACCTGCTGGGCTCCTCCGTCCCGAGGCCCCTGGCCAGCAGCCTCTGAATTACGATTTCACACCCCGCCCCCCTTGCCCACATGAAGGCCACACTAACATTTAACAGATGAGATGCGGCTGAGACCCAACACGAGAGGCAGAGGCTGGCTGTGCCCTGGGCTCAGATACGCGCCCAGAGCAGGGGCCTTGCCCATGACCCGACCCTGAGCCAGGGCAGCGGGGCCCGTCCAGCCCCTGCCTTCTCCTCCCTCACCTCCTCCAGTCCTCCCCTGCTGGCCCTGGCCCCAGCCACCACCCACAGTGACAGCCTTATCACCACGGACAAGCCCGAGTGGGGACCAACCAGCCGACTGCTCTGTGATGTGACTGAAGCGGCCCCATGGGACAAAGACGCCCTCAGGAGCCCAGCATGGGGAAACCAGGCCAGCTCTGCCCGAAACCCAGAGGCCCAGAGGCCTCCCGCCCCCTCCGAGGACACTCAGAGGCCGGGGTGGGGGCTGGGGATAGCACCGAGCCCTTCCCATGCCAGGGTCGGGGCCGCAGGGCGCTGCCCGGAGGGAGGACGCCTGTCCAGGAGCCGTGTTCTCAGGGGCTCTGGAGCCAGACCCTCCGCACCTGTTCCCGTCTCACCTTCCGTGGGTCGGGAACCCCTCTGCGTCAGAGCCTATTCTGAACACCCTGCCAGTATTCACTAAACCACGAACACTCCCAACACGCCGTGAGGGTACCCATTTCACAGACGGTCAGACAGAGGCTCAGAGACACCCCGCGGCCCGAGCCCACAGCTTACAACTCCGCCGCGTTATTCAAGCACAATCAGCCTGGCTGGAGGTGACGACATCTGTCACCCTCCTGGTGGCTCCCTTCCACACCTGCTATTAGGACCGTGGTCCCCTGAGGCCCACACCCTCCTTCTCTAACCCGGGATTCGAGTGACCACAGCCCAGCGCCTGCCACCGCCTGCGGTCATCGCACGTGCACTGCAGTGGCCATCCTGGCCCCGGCCCACGCTCCTCCTCCAAGAGGCCCCTGGAGCTTGTGCAATGTGTCCGCCCACCCTGCTGCCTGGGAGAGCCAGGTGCTTGCGCCACAGCCGGAGGTCAGAGGGCTCGCTGGCTCAGAGGCTGGGGGACTGCTAACCACCAAGCCGTCCGCTGGCCAAGAAGGCCCCGAGCCGAGGACGGCATGGCGTGCACTCGGGGTCCTTGGGGTGCCCTTTGCCTGGGCACAGGTTGCCGCCCATTTCCATGGTGGGACAGAGTCCTGGTCCCAATCCAAGACGCTCTGCTCACCGCCCCCTCCACCCCCAGGGTCCCCCTCCTGCTGGGCCGGCAGCGGGCCGACTTACGTGGGAGCAGAACCTCTCCGGGGGGTCTCCACACGTGATGCCCGAGGGCTCTACCTTCACCTTGACGTAATCCTTCAGCCGCATCACCTTGGGCTGGCAGGCGTAGAACTCCCAGGTGGGGCCCTCATCCGTGGTCACCCAGGATTTGCAGATGTCATAGCTCCCACAGGCCAGCGGGAGGCAGTGCAGGAGGAGGGCCAGCAGGTACAGCATGGCTGCGCAGTCCACAGGGGCGCGGCCCCGGAGGCCCTGGAGTGGCAGCGTGGACGTCGACGACAACGGTGACGGCGGGGTCAGGCGGGGCTCGCGGCCTCAGCATGGAAACACCACATCTACCGGGCGGCGACAGCCAGGGCGGCGACAGCCAGGGCGGCCCAGGTTTGCAGAGAACGAGGACCTTGTGTTTTCCAAGAAGCCACGGCTCCTGCCGCGGAAAATCTAGAGCCAGCGTTTCTCCGGCTGCTGACGGGCAGGTCAGCGAGCGGCCGTGACTTTGTCGTCCTGCCCTTGGCACCGCACGGCTCCCGGAGGTGGATGTGATCAGATCGGGAAGACTCTCAAATTGTGACAGTGGCTGGAAATGGGATAAGGGGAAAATCCACAGGGATCCGGCAGGGGGGGCGGATCCGATTGCTTTTAATTTTTGTCCTTCCAACCAATTCAGGTCTTTAAAGGGACCTTAATGGGCGATGGGCTCCATACGACAGCAGAGTATCCCCTCGGGCCTGCGTTGCAAAGATACAGTAAAATCAGGAGGTGTGAAGTCCAGCCGGAGAGACGCCTGCCCTCCTTGGGACCGACAAACGAGACCTCTTAGCACAGGGGCTGCAACGGAGGGGCCAGGCCGGGGAGCAGTTTGGTGGGGCGGGCGCTAAGTGGGGGGGGGGGCAGCTGACCTTGGCGTGCAGCCGTGGGCCACTTATTCTGAAGTTTCTGGGTTCTCAGCGCCCCGTCCCTCCCGGTACCTGGGGCCTGCCCGTCTTTTCATCATCAGAGAGGAGCGGGCTCATTAGCGACAGCACCTGCAACAAATTAAGAGGGGGGAGGGGTGGAGAGGGTGAGAACAAAGCCCTCCCGGCAAGCTGTGCAGAGCCGAGGCTGCATTAGGGAGGTCTCCTGAGAGGTTGTTTTTATTGATATCCGAGTTGCACGTTTGCAGATGGCTGTGACAAAGGGGACGGAGCCGTCTCATCTCTGAAGGGGGTGTCAGATCAAGGGGCGGGGTGCTCCTGCTGGGGGCAGGGATCAGAGACTTTCTGAAACATCCCCTGGCCACGCAGAATGTCCAAAGTGGCCACAGGCAGGAAAGAGGCTGAAACCACAGTGCCCTCCGTAGGCTGCCAGGTTCATGGCCGCTGCCCGGCCTCTGCACACCCTGGGACAGCACGGCCTCGTGCAGCCGTGTTCCCGGGAGAGGCCCACACTGCCGCCGCCTCCCTGGAGGCTCTCTACCATCGCATCCCTCTGACGATCACCGCGCGCTATTTTAAGCCCTTGATAATTATTTAAAAGCCAAAATAGATATAACTAATACAGACGTTCTACTGGGAAGTGCCCGACTCCAGGGAGGTGATATGTTCCCAGACAGAGACATCACGGCGGGAATCTGTGTGCAGCCAGAGCCGGATCCCGCCAGAAACGCTGGCCAGGGAGAGGGCAAAGGTCACCGCGGCAAAAGCGCCTGTGGTCTTCACCGCTCCGGGTGTCCTGTCCATGGTGGCTGCAAACACCTCTACCAAGCGGGCAGCGGCGCCCAGGGCAGCCTGGCCCTCACCTGGCGCCCCCCTTCCTCCCAGAGCCACTGCCTGCAAGCTCACCGTGCGTCATGGACACCCCAAGCCGCCCAGACGCCAAAACGACCACAGGCTCGCGGCCGGCGGGGGCTGGCCCTGCACCTCCCCGGGGGAGAAGCCCCCAGCCGGCGCCCCTGGCTCGCAGATGGGCGGGGGTTCCCGGTTCTCCCGCCTCTCCTCTGCGGGTTTCGGGAGACACTTGCGGTGGTGTCTGCGCGCGGCAGAACGCGCCTGGCGTCTGTTTGCACCGCCCGGGATCGCGTAGTGAAAGTAAGAGCGCGCGGCCCCCGCGGGCGTGCGGACCCGGAAAACAGCGTGTCCGGCCCCCGCGCCACGACCGTCCACTAACGGGCCCGGGGAGCCCCCGCTGGGGACGCCCCGGCGCCGGACACGGCCCGCGAGGTCGGGGCCTGGACGGCGTGGACGCGGGAGCCGCGCGCGCGGCAGCTCTCCAATCTGCGGGGCGCTTCGCGGGAAGGCAGCGCGCGCCCGGGGATGCGGCGGCGTGGCGGGGGGCAGCGGGGCATCGACCCCCAGCCGACAGAACCTGCGGGGCGGGGTTGTGTTTACACCTGTCAATCAGCCGGGCGTCGCGGGCCGCGCGCTCGGGGAATTGCGCGCCCAACGCGCCAGCACCACAGACGGATTTTATTTTATTTTCTTTTATTTTGCCAAAAAGGAGCGAAGCCGCGGGGAGGGGGGGCGGCGCAAGGGGCCCGGCGGAGCGCGGGGAGGGAGCGGCCGGCGGCGGCTCCGAAGTGGAGGCTGCACGGGCGGACCGCTGTTTCTCCCTGGGAAATAAATCTTCACCTGGGAGTATTAGGGAACGGGGAGACCAGGATCAAATGAACCAACGCGCTTATTTGCTTCTCGGAGTCCTCGGGAACCCGGCGGGCGCGGGGGAGGGGGGGCGGCTGATGGCCTGGGCATGAAAGCCCGAAAATTAGATTTTATCAGGATTTCTGAACTCGGCTTTCTCCGCCTGATTGAATTAGCGCCTCTCGGAGCCGGCCGGGCTCGCGAGCAGCCTCGTCCGGGAGCGGCCGCTGCGCCCTCGCCCAGCGGGAAACTCGCCGCGGGGTACGCAGGGGGTTGCGTAGCCCACCCGGCCAGAGGCGTGGAGCCCGCCCTTGGAGGGTGCAGGCAGCCCCTGGGGACCGGGTCACCTTCCGGTCCCGCGCCCTGGACGGGGTGGGGGGGGAGCCATGCCCAGCGCCCCCTCCCGATCAGCCGGCGTCTGGGACCCCACGGCCCCGGTGCCCCCGGCCCCCGACCTCGCACTGCCTGCAGCCCCCGTCCCCCCACCAGCGGCCCGGGAGCCCCGAAAAGTTGGGCGCGGGGGGCGGAGCACGAGTCTGGGGCGGCGCGGACGCCCAGAGTCGGACCCCACCGCGGACGCCCAGGGACCCCACGGCGGACGCCCAGGGCTCGAGATCCCGTCCGCGGCGCGCGGCTCCCAGGGCCGAGCCGGGCGGGCCCGCGGCTGCTCTTTGGCTTCCATAAGTTGCGTGCGAGCCGCGCGTGCCATCCCGAAGGTCGCGGTTCACCAAGGCCGGGCCGGCGCCCCGCGCGCCCCTCGCCCCTTAATTAAAAGGCACGGAGCTCCCCGTCCACCCCCCGCGCGGAGACGAGCGACTTACTCTGGAGCCGGCCGATCCCGCCGCCTGCCCTAGCCGCACGCTTCCTGCGCCCCGGAGCGGGTCCGCGGGTCCCACGAGCCCCTCCCCCCACCCGCGACCCCCTCCACCCACGCGGAGAAGTTTCCAGCGGTGGCGGCACCCGAGTTTCTCGTGCGACTCACGCGTCCCCCGGCGTGCGGAGCGGCGGGAGGGCTGGGGTGCGTGCGTGCGTGCGGCTCTGGCCGCTGGCGGTGAACTGGGGTGCGGGGCGCAGTGGCGCGGGAGGAGGGTTACCGCCCAGCCGCGCACCCCTCCCAGCTCTCCCCGCAGCGTCCCTCCGCGTCCCGCACGCAGCCACACACGCGGCGGGGAAGCAACCAGGGGTGCGGGGACCCGGCCAGGAAGGCGAGCGACGCCTTTAAGAGGCTGCCGCCCGCGCGCGCTCACACGCCCCTCTCCCGCGGAGCCAGCCCTCCGTAGTAGCGGCCGTCAGCAAACAACTTTTGCACCCGAGCCTCGGCGAGGCTGCGGGAAGTGGCTCGGGGGCCCCGGGGGAGCCTGCACGGCCGCCGAAGCCCGGCCGGGCGCGCCGCAACAGCGCCCCGCACCGCCCCACCCCGCCCGCCTTACCCGGGCTCGGAGCGGCTTCCCGGAGCGCGGAGACGCGGGAGGCCGAGGACCGCCGCCCGCTCCGGCCGGCGCTGCTGGGGGCTAGGGCCCGAGGCCGCGGGCCGCCGCTCCTTCCCCGCGCCGCGGCCGCCGCCGCCGTCAGACCCGGGCCCGGGCGCCCTCCGGCTGCCGGGGGCGCCGCCCGCAGCCGTCCGGGAGACGCGGGCCCGGGCAGGGGGCCGCGCGCGCCGCCCGCATCGCCCGCCCGGCCGAGCGGAGGTCGCCGCTAACAAGTGCAAACTTTTGCGGGCCCCTGGGCGGCTCCGGGGGGACCCGCTCTGGGGCGCCAGGCGGCCCCCGGCCCGGGTGGGCTCCGCGGCGGCTCGTCGGGGCGCGGGGGCATTCCCCCGGCGCGCTCGGGCCAGCTGGCGGGGCGCTGCCGGGCCCCCTGCGCCGCGCTCCAAGTTAATGCCGAGGCCAAATCCTCTTTGCCTTCACTCGCGAGCACCATTGGGCTTTTATCTCTCGGTCTGATCCCGGCTGCGTAACTTCCTCTGTGTGGCTCGCACACACCATCCCACCACGGAGCAGCGGCCTTCTTAAAGGTGCAGGGAGGAAATACTGCGAGACTCGGGGGGCGCGCCACGGCCCGGGCAGGGGCGCGCCGGCGGGCAGGCGGCCGCGGGAGCGAGCCGGCCCTGGGGGTCGCCTCCTGGACATCTCCGCCCGGCCTTGGGGGCCGGCGGGTCCCCGCTCGCCGAGTGCAGCCTCCGCCGCGGGCTCGGGTCAGGCGCGACCGGGCGGCAGCTTCCCCTTGCAGCACCCGGGGGCCTGCCCGGGCGCCAGCGCCCGTGGGTGTGGGGGCTGCCCCATCCGCGCCGCCGGGGAGGGGTCCGGGGAGGCGGTTCCCCCACCCCCAACGAGCCGAGGGCTCGGGGCTGCTCTGCTCCCCTCCTCTCTCCCTGGGAAGTGCTGCCACCCAGAAGGCCCCCTGAGCAGTGGGTACCGGGGTGGGTAGGTGGGTGGATTTGGGGAGATGGGGAGGGGGAGCGATCGCGGCGCACAATCCGAGCCTGGATACCAGCTGACACACCGCCGCCTCCACCCCTGATGGGCCCTGCATCTGAGGGAGCCAAGCCAGCGCCTGGGGAAGCGCAGAGTAGGGGGCAGGAGTGCGTGCGGGGTGCTCTGCCTTCCCTGGGGGTGAGCCTGGGAGCAGGGCGTGGGCGGACTGCTGGCCGCTGGGAGTTGGCACCTCCGGGCTGCCGTGGGCTCTCCAAGCTCCTGGAGGCTGGCAGCCAGGAGCCTGGCAGGGCTGTGGGGAGGGCTCCCCCCAGCCTCACGGGGGCCGGTGTGGGTTCCAGGTGCTGCTGGCCTCCTTGGGGAGGGTTCTCAGCGCCTCAGCACTCAAGCAGCCAGCACTGTCATTTGGATGCAGCCAGAACAAAGGGCCTGAGGACAGAGAGAGAGAGAGAGAGACACTGGTCCAAGGTCAGAGAGGGTGCTGAGAATGGGAGAGCAAGATGTGGCATCTCCTGGGGCGGTGCCCCACCGCCTGCCTTACCTGCACCTTCACCCCTCCCGGCTCTTGGCTCCCCTTCAGCCTGGAGAGAGGGCTGTGCTGCCGAGTACGTTGGCAGGGTTGTGAGGAAGCCGGCAGAGAATGCAGAATTATAGATTGTCAGCTGCTACAAAAACACACGAGTGTTGATAACCTGACCTGCACTGAACCCCTGTTTTGTGCCAGGCTCCTGCAGCTCAGTCTGCGTGCACAACTCACGGAATGTCCCCAAGCCCCGGGGACGTAACTGCCGTTAGCAAAGCCCCAAGTTAAAGATGACGCTGCGAGACATTAGGTAACTTGCCCAAGGTCCCACAGCCAGGGCAGACTCTGGCCCGGGGCGCAGGGCTCTCGCACTCCTGGGTGGTGCTCTGCCACCGCCCGCCTCTCTGGTTAACTTGGGGTACCGCCTCAGTTTCCCTACTTGGGCATGCAAGCAGCGAGCCCTGCCATTTCCAAGGAGGTACGGGAGCTGCCTCTGCTCCTGCCTGCTCTCAGGACATGGGACACGCCCTCCCCAGGCCAGCCGACACAGGCCTGCCCCGGTGACCCGCTCCCCACCCCGGTCTCAACGCCTCCAGCAGGAGGCGGCTCCTCAAAGGATGGCCGAGAACACACCGCAGTGATCTGACTTTTGAACATTCAGCCTGCAAACAGCAGCGCAGGGCCCAGCGTGGCCTCCTGCACAGGGTGAGTGATGACCCAGGCCGGCCTCCGCCTGCTGTCGCCCCAGGGCTGGGCCATCAATCCCCGGGAGCCGGCCTGCTCCTCCATCATGTCAGGACTGGATGCTGTCAGGAGCAGCCAACGAGACCTGCAGGAGGGTGCATCGTGTGTATTGCTCGCCTCCACACCTGGGGCGTGTCCTGCCAGGACGGCCTGGGCGGTGCCTCTGTGGGCGTGGCCAGCAGCCCTGGCCTCCCTGGCACTCCGCCTCTGCCGCAGGCTGACCCCGACGGGTTTTTCCCAGGGACCGGGTCCTGCATTTCCAGACCCTGCAAATCGTGGGGAAGAACAGCAGGACTGAGACGAGGGCCCGGATAACGGGCTTTCCGTGGCTCGGCCCCTGCCTCGCTGCGTGGCCTGTGGGGGGAGGGGGGAGCTTGCTTGCCTGCTCTTGGCCTCAGTTTCCCCATCTGCACCCGGGAGGCGCTGGGGTCCTGGCTCCAAGAGACGGCGTTTCCTTCCAGGAAAGTGCTGATTTTCCAAGACAGGGAACAGATAGGATTCCAGCCATCGGAGGACCAGGTGGCCGAGGGAGCGTTCATTTGGAAACTCCATTACTGCTCCTTCCGAGCGGTCACCTCCTCCCGGCAGGGAGAAGAAAGCTGAGCAGAGGGCAGGAAAGTGTTAATGAATCTCCCAACAAGTCCTCATCGGCTGCCCTCTCCCCAGCAGCCCAGTCGCCCTCTTCATTGGCGGCATTTGGGCTTCTCTGCGCAGTCTTGATTTCAATTGTGGATGTGGAATCTGCTATCAAAAACATCTATATAGCAATGCAGCTCATTCCAGCTGTTATTTTTTTTTTTAAAGAAAAGATTTGCACATAATCCTCCCTGTAGATGTGGACTACAGAGACCCCACACCGCAGCATGGATGGAGAGGCGAGGCGGGGGCTGCGTGCCTGCCTGTACACACAGTCTTTCTATGTTGCTCCACTCCCTTGCAACGTGAGCAAAAGGCAACAACACGCAAAAATCATCGAGGGGCTTTGCCAGGAGACGTAACAGATGAGGTCCAGCTCTCTGGGGACTTCCCAGAGAAGGCGAATCCTGCCGGGGCCGGATGGAGGGACGGACAGATCGGAGGAGCTCCCCCGGCTGCTTCAGGGCCAGAGTCGGCTCCCACGCTCTCGGCCCCGGCCTCGCTCGCTCTGTTTGCTCACGCAGACCGAGATTTGAATTCCTCAAGAAACTCTGTCCCTTCGACCTTGAGCAGTCGTGATGCAGCTGTAAGCAGGCAGCAAGAGCCTGAGAACCAGCCCCGGGCCCGGGATGGGTTTAAGACACCTTGCGCCCCTTGCTTCTACGGCCAAGGCAGGGGCAGGGGAGAGGGGCCCAGCCTGGAGCCCCAGGCCTCCCCCAAGGTGACACCTCCACATAGTGGCAGAAGCTGCGAGAAGCCCTCCGGCTCCTCCCTGCCAGTTCCCAGCTCTAATCTCCAGACATACTCCCATTAATTATTATTACTGTATTAATCATACATGTGATTAATTCAGCGATGGTGATTCATAATTGATTGCATTTTATATGGCGTCTTTCATCCACACATCTCCTAAGATGTGCACTGCCTACAACAAGAGGCGCATACAGCAAGCCCGGTTCTGTGCTGTCTGCATTTTGTTGGATAAACTTCGCTTCACGGAGGCAGGAGGCTAATGGTCTTGGGGTGGGCTGGGCTTGCCAGCTGCAGTTCAGGGCCCGATCCACGCCTGGGTGGGACAGCTCGCAGCCCCCTGCCTCGCCAGGTGGTGGCCAGGCCCTGGCTGGTCCGCACACCCCATGCACCTGGCGGGCAGGGCTGGCGGGCAGGGCTGTGCTGACACTGCAGGGAGGCAGGGCCACACAGTGGCTCTGGACCACAGCTCGAACACCTGCCTCTCCCTCCAATGACCCACGTGACCTTGAGCAAGCGACTTCCTGTTCTGCCTCAGTTTGCCCAAATGAAAAATAAATTGATAACCATCCCTGTCTTCCTAGGGTGATGGTAAAAATTAAAAAGCAATGACGCACATAAGGCAGAGGAGCCGGCATGGAGTAAGTAGGCAGTAACTGGAGCGGTGATTGGGGGCGTCCTGGGGACAGTTCCAGCCGCAGCAGCTCTGAGACTGGACTCGTCCCTTCTCCTCCAGACTCAACTTTCCGCTGCAAAGTGGGATCCCAGGTCAGTTCCTCCCAGATCCTAAAGGAGCAGTGAGTGCAATCGCAAAGTCAAGTGGCCCTGGGTGTGACCCTGACCCCGGGGACTCGCCTTGGCAAGCCCCAGTCTTCTCCCCTGGGAAATGGAGGCTGTAACGAGATACAATCACCCAGGCCTGGCGTAAGGGTGTGGCGAGTAGGGGCTTCAAACTTCCAAAGAGTGCCTAACGCAAGATGGCTCTGGCACCACACACCCGGGCTCGGCGCGCGGAAGCTCCCTGGTCACTCAGGGTGGGCCCACCCTAAGCTGGTGACTCGGGGGTTACTTTGTCCCCTACCGTCCTGGGACGGAGTGGTGCTGCCATCTCCACGGTCAGCAGTGGGCCCGAGCGGCCCAGCCCCTTCTTGCAGGCAGGAGGGCACCCGGGCAGGTCAGCGCAGGCTCTGCCGAATGAGTGGGAACCCCCGCCTCTGACCAGGCACAAATCCAGGGGTGAGTGGGCAGCAATCTCTGGTGCAGAAGACCCCCTGGGCAGGACCAGCTGCTGCCCAGTTCCATAGTTTCTGGAGCCTCTGGGGATTCCTCAGGGTGGGGGGATAGGCTGGGGCCTCTTCTCAAGCAGCAGTGGTCCTTGTACATCATTTCCATGCAGGCCATCGTAGGGCACCTGCTAAGTGCCAACCATGTGTTGGCACCTCCCGGCCCGGGGTACAGCAGGGGCCACAGGGCCACTGGGTCTTGCCCTTGGTGGTGGTGGTGGTGGAGGGACTGTCCGGTAAACAGCAAGTGCTCAATAGATGCTGGCTCTGACCAGTTGTCACTCACCAGCGTCTCCCCGGCCAAGGCCCTCAGATCCAGGACGAGGGGAGGGTCAAGGCCCTCATTTGGCCCAGCAGAGGAGACTGATGCGCCCGAAGAGTAATGGGGTCTCACCTGTCTGCCGAACCTGGGAAATTAATGGGGACACCAGCCCTGGCTCTCCTCCCGCAAAGCCACCACACATTCCCCTGGTGCTTTGGGGACTGCCGCGCCCAGTCTCAGCGTGGGGAGCGGGCCATGGAGCCCTCCCCCGGGCCCTCCCACCTGCTTGCCAGGTGTGCAGGTTTCTGACCGGGGGCTCCCGGGTGCCAGGGCGGTTTGGGGGTGATGGCGAGGCGCGATCAGCAGGGAAAATGCACCTCAGCTTTTCCTCCCACCCACGCCTCTCCCCAGGGAAAACATTTTTCTTCCTTACGGAGGGAGCAGGTGACCTGGGCGGCCAGGACGGCACAGCAGATGTGGCGTCTTCCTCTCAGACACGCGCTGGTCACAGAATAACTGACCTGGTTGTGGGGGCACCTGCCCTGCCCCCGGCCTCTCCCTCCCGCCGCCCCGGACCGCGGCGTGGTTTCCCCAGCACTGCACCCCTGCTCCTCCATCGCTGGTGTCAGTCTGAAAACAGCCTCACGGAGGCGCTGGCCCAGAAGACCCGAGTCCTGCCTGCGTGAGTGGCTGCCGCACGCGGGCGAGCTGGGCGCCGGAGCCCCCGGAGCGCGGGCGGCCGCGATTCTGGAAGTTTGGCAGTGAGCGGGAGATGGACGCAGAAGGGCATCCCTCTGGCAGCCTCCTGCCCGGCCTCAGCCCCACGTGGTGCTGCAGGCAACCATCGGCCTACCGACTTCTGCTCTGCCAAAGCACCGAATTCCACACCCTGCAGCTTCATCCCTGCCCCCTCAAGCCGCCACTCCCCCCCAAGCAGACTGTGGCAGAGGCCACAGTGAGACGATGCCCACAGCGGGGCAGGCGCCCTCACACTTGCTCCTTGGCTCTCGGGGTGCTGGCCCAATGGATGGAGACGGCCCCGTGCCCCTTTGGTTTGCTGTAACCTATGACCTCTAGGCTGTCCACGCGTAGCTCAAGCTGCCCCCACTTTGGGAGGGCTCCTCCCACTCCTTGGGGTCCTCTCCCTTCACCCTGGCAGCCTGCTCTGCTGGCAGTCCCGCCCTCAGCGCCTTTGTCACCGTCACTGAGTACATGCAGATGTGCGGGTGCGGAGCGGCCGGCCGGCAGTGTGGTCCAGCGCTCTCTGCTTTTCAGGCACCTGAGAGTCGTGACCCCCAACACAGCCAATGGGGCCTCCCGGGGAGGGTCTTCTTTTGGATGGGGGGGGAAACTCTGGCTCTGAACTCTCCACCCCCCACCCATCGCCATCTTCCTTGGCTCTGCTAATTCCAGGACCCAGCTCTGCCGGCACTGAGCAGGGATACGGTTGTCTCACTCTGCCCCTACCCGACCCGGGGGCTCAGCCAGGACCCCTCCCTGCGGCTCTCATTGACCCCAGCTCCTTACACTGCCTTTGGGTGGCCTCCGTGGTCCAAGCCGAGACGGCTCAGACAGGGGTTCGGATGGCCCATGTGCACACATGCGTCCTTAGTGCTGCAAGCCTGGCACCCAGGAGCCTGGGCCCGGGTCCCGGCAGCCTGGGGCTGGAGTGTCTCCCCTCACTCCGTCCTGGGGCAGCCCTCTGCCCCTCAGCTTCCCCTCTGTGCCACAGGGACACCGATGAGATCACCTCTGCAGAGCGCTCAGAGGGGACCGGGATGCCGGCTCCACGCTGACCCTTGACCCCGGATGGTGTCCTCAGCCCTCCCCTTGCCCAGAGCAGCCGTGGGCCGGTGGGAACAGGAAGTCCTTGCTCCGCCTTTGGCTTTGAACCCAGGAGATACAAACGGGGGCCGCAGCACAGCCACAGGAAGTGACCGCCCGTCACCCAGCCTCACCCCTCCATCACCCACCCTGCACAACAGGGAGGGCGAGGAGCTGGCGGCACCGGGGCCTCCCCACGCCGGCATTGTCAGATGACCCCACCCCCTCCCCGCACGTGGGTCCCTGGGCTCGGCCAGTACAAATGTTCGCCAGAATGATCTGCAGGAAGACACCTCCCTAGGGGGAGGAGCAGCAGGCGACGAGCGGCCCGGTCAGAAACCTGACATTCCCGCGCCTGGCGCACGGCTCAGGTGGGGCCCGGGAAGCGCGTGGCAGCCGCGGGGGCTGCGAGGACAAGGCCTGAGCTCCGGTCTGGGCTCTGCAGCTCTAATTTCTGTCCACGCAGGCTCCAGAGAGACGGCCACACCCCACCTGGTGCCTGCAGGGTCCTGGGCACCCAGGGGTGTCATAAGAACGCTGTTGCCAGCTGTGATGATGAGGTGGTCCCAGAAGGAACCTCTCAGCGCTTGGGGCCCCCAGTCCAGGCTGCTGCCCTGGGCCTGCGCGGGCACCGTATCTGCCGCTGGCTGAAACGCTGACAACACTGTGTGCGGTCACTGGCTGGTGAGGGGCCCAGGCCCTGAACCCCCCCGGGCGCCCCCCCCCCGTTCCCCAGGCCACCCAGCATGCTTCCTCAGATCGCTCCTGGTCCCTGGCCCCCCTCAAACCCTTCCTCGCGCTGCTGCCTAGCACGGCGGAGTCCTGCAGAGCCTGCTGTGTGCCAGGCTCTGACCCAGGGGCTCCCCGACACAGCGAGACAGACAAAGTGAGCCCAGGTGGCGCGCGGTGGCCGTGGGCCAGGGGCAGGGGCAGGGCGGGGCACAGCCTCCTGGGATGGCCAGAACCGTACCTGGCCTCTAGCCACCTGGCCTGTCCACACAGCAGCAGGTACTGATGGCAAGAGGCCTGGCCTTAGAACAGCTAGGGCCCCTGGAGGGGACTGGTGGGAGTCCCTGCTGAGTTCCCCTGAGCCCCCTCGTCATGCAGCAGTGACCCGCGGCAGGCGGTCAAGGCCGAGGGCTGGCCCGGGGGGCCACTGAGCAGAGGGGTGACGGCCGCTCCTCCACCGAGTGTGTCCTGCGGGTGCTCCCCGCCCCAGCCCCGGGTCCAGTCGTGGGTCAGGAGGCAGACGCAGCAGGGGCTCCTGCTGGGGTCCCTCCTCGGCTCCCAGAGGGCAGGCCCACCCTGCACTGGGGCCCTGACCCCCGTGCTCCTTCCCCGCACGGCGCACTGGGAGCGCTCTGCCCGGGGGCTTCCGTGTAGACCTCCTGTGCCTTGCACATAGTAGGTGCTCAAGAAAGCTTTGCTGCCTGCAGAACAGACCTGCACCAGCCGCTGAGTCTTTGGCCGGTCCACGGGCCCAGCCCGGATGCTGCGGCAGCTCGCCTCCTTCCGCTCCCTCCCTGTCTGCCCGTCTCCCCCTCGGCCTGGCCCGGGGCACCTGTGGCGTCTCTCTGAGCTCCTGCACTCTGCCTGGCGTCTCCTGGTAGATGGACGGGCACCAGAGCTCCCAGCATGCACCGCCTACGTCGGGCCCACTACACCTGCCCTGGGTCTTCGCTCACCTCGCCTGCAAGGCCCTTCCTGGGGATTTCGCCTGCTGGAGGGGGGAAGGAGAGGAAGGAAGGCCGGCAGGTGACAGGCAGTGGCGGCAGCGCCCAGCCCCTGGGGCCCCACCAGGCTGGGAGGAGTGAGACAGATCGAGGGTGTGGCTCGCGGGTGACCACGTGGAGGCCCCCGCTGCTCTCCTGGGCGGGTGACACAGTCATGGCTCTGCCTCCGTCAGGTGTGCCTTGTATCCAGACCTCAGTCTCCACATCCAAGAAATGGGAATAAAAATAGCTTCTCTTGGAGCTGGTGTTGTCACGCAGCGAGTCCCGGCTGCTCCTCTTCCAGTCCAGCTCTCTGCTGTGGCCTGGGGAAGCAGTGGAGGATGGCCTCAGTCCTTGGGCCCCTGCACCCATGTGGAAATCCCAGAGGAAGCCCCGGGCTCCTGGCTCCCGGCTTTGGATCGGCACAGCTCCAGCCATTGCAGCCGTTCCGGGAGGGAACCAGTGGATGTAAGATCTCTATCTTTCAAATAAATAAATAAATCTTAAAAAAAAAACTAGGACCAGAAAGGCACTGCTGTTGCTCCCTCCTCCCGCTGGGCGTTGAGTCTGTGCAGGCGCCCAGCTTGGTAGCAACTCCCTCCCTGCCCACGGTGCTGTCCACTGCCTGTGAGTGAAAACTGAGGCCCATGGTGGCCACACCCAGATCACCCAGCTGTCAGAGGCTGACCCACGACCCCCCAGCTCCCCTGGGGTCCCAAGCCCCTTTATTTTAAGGACTTTCTAAGCCAATTTTAACCAAAGCCAGGGCCGTCTGGGGAGGCGGTGATGTCCGAGGTTGCACCAAACCCATGTCGTCCTCTCCTCCGATGCCCTCACCCCCTCCCTTGGAAGCGCCAGGGAGTGGGGAAGGCGTGGTGCCGAGCCCCCTTGGCTTAAACTGGCGCCCCTGTGCCGGTTTGCCCTGAAGACCGAGATGAAAAAGGGCAGCGGAACGCGCAGAGGGGGGCAGTCGGAGGAAGGGGAAGACACGCGCTCCCGGGTGTGAGGCTGCGTTCCCTGGCAACAGCTTTCACACCTCGAGCAAGTGGAAGCTCCCACCAGCTGGCCCCGCCGCTACGGCACAGCCTGGGCGAGCATCCTGCTCCCGAGTGGCAGCGTGGCACCGGCCGCCCAAGGCACAGAACCACCAGCAGCCTCGGACCGACCTGCCCAGGATTCTCGGTGGCCAGTGGAGCCGGTGGCCCAGGGCAGGGGAGGTGGACAGAGAGCTGAGTTCACTTCCCAGCTTGGCGAAGAACTGTTCCACCCGGGACGAGGCAAGGCACCTCTCGGTGACTCGGTTTTCACATCTGTGAAATGGGGTCACTGACCCCTCCCACGGAGGGTAGTGTACTGAACAAGTGGAGACACAGAGAATACTCAGCACGCAATCTGTTCACGGCGCCTTCCTAGGAATTTCCTCCAGAGATTCGGCGTCTCAGGGATGCACCCTTCAGTACAGGACGGGCTCCTTTCAATGCTCACATTTCATTCAAGCTCATTTTTATTTATTTGGACTGGAGAGAGATGAGAGAGAGGTTGACGACGCAGATGAAGGCGAGGAAACCAACCTGGCACAGCTGGCTGCCGGGGTTCGAGTCCTGCCTCTCCCGTCACCAGCTGTGTGATCCCGGCCGAGCCACGGCTCCCTCTCAGATCTCAGATTCCTGTCCTCTCGCGTGATCACCGAGGGAATCAAAACGGCCAGTCGTGTGCAGAAGCTGCGGAGGCCAGTCCGCGTGCCAGGCGAGGCCCCGGAGCCGAAGCAGGTGCCGCCCGAGCTGCCACTGCCGCCGGTTTCTGAGTCCCGGCAAGCACGCGGTGGCGGTGTCAGTGATGCGTGCTGGGGAATCTTTCCTGTAAGCCTAAAACTTGCCCCAAATTAAAGGAAATCAATCAATCAATCAGTCTGCCATCTATCGCCATCATCATCATCATCTATCTTGATCTCTTCGTTCTCTTATCTATCTCTATTTATCATCTGTCATCTAGCTTTCTTCGTCATCGTCATCTATCTCTGTATCTACTCTCTATCACCTTCGTCCTTCTCCTCCTCATCTCTTTATTTTACTTTCTCTGTATATCTGTCTTTCACCTATCTGTCTGTCTGTCTGTTTAGCCAGCCAGCCCTCCATACCCAAAGATTTTTATCCGCGGATTCAGCCCACGTGGTTGGAGACTATTTGGGACAGTTGCATCCGTGTTGAACATGTGCAGTTTTTCCTTGTCATTATGCCCTAAACAGTGCAGGCGACAGCCGTCGACACAGCGTTTGCTCTGCACAGGGCCCTAAGGCATCTACAGATGATCTCCAGTCGACGGAGGGGACGGCGTTGTGGCACGCGGCTTACACCACTGCCTGTGATGCCGGCATCCCATGGAGCACCAGTTCGAGTCCTGGCTGCTCCACCACCACCACCACCACCACCACCACCACCACTACTATCACTACTTCTGCTTCTTTTTAAGATTTATTGGTTTATTTGAAAGGCAGAGTTACAGAGAGAGAGGGAGAGACAGAGAGGTCTTCCGTCCACTAGCTCACTCCCCAAATGGCTACAACAGCCAGGGCTGAGCCAGACTGAACCAGGAGCCAGGAGCTTCATCCGGGTCTCCCCCATGGGCAGCAGGGGCCCAAGCACTTGGGCCATCTTCCACTGCTTTCTCTGGCCATCACCAGGGAGCTGGATTGGAAGTGGAGCAGCCAGGACTTGAACTGGTGCCCATGTGGGATGCCAGCACTGTGGGCAGCAGTTTAACCCACTATGGCCTCCCCTATTTGCACAAATATGCATGACCCCTTCTCTGAGGGGGGTCTGGGCTGGGCCAGGACAGAGATGGGCGGGGGTGGTGGGGGGAATCAGCCAGGCCCCTCCTTGGTCGGGGCGAAGCCGGGCTCCGGGCCCCTGCCAGCTCACAGAGCTGCAGGATGGATGCACACAACACACCTGCAGATGACAGAGGCAGACTGGGGGTGCCACGGAGAGCCCTGGGGCCCGTGTGAGGCAGGGACCCTGGGATGGGTGTGGTGCCCACCCGGACAAGTTGGATGGCAGCCGAGGGGGCCTCGGGCAGCACAGGGCAGGGTCCTGGGCTGACCATCCTGAGCCAGGTACCTGCCCTGGGTGAGCCCGGTCAACACCGAGTCACCAAGTCACGTTGTTAATGACAGAAATCAGGTGAGGAGGGCGTAATTGGGTAATTCCGTTGCCTCCCGTAGAGAATTGTGATTTAATTAAGCAGGCCGAGGACAGCACTAGGTGGCTGGGGAAGTCCAGCCTGATGGTCTGGAGAGACTAGAACATCTGGCAAGACGAGGGGTGGCCCAGAGCTGTGCTGGAGCCGGGGCTGCGGGGGGTCAGGGTCCAGAGCGGGGCACCGGCCAGCTGCTGTCCCTGGGCGGGTGGGAGCCAGACACAGGGCAGCAAACCAGAGGGAGAGCTGGCTTACCGCTGGAGAGTGGGTCTCGTGGATGAACTTCCAGACTTAGGAGCAGACGGTTGCCAGTACGTCGGCCCTGGCACATGCGCCGTCTTCCAGAGTCTGCCGGATTTTTAGCTGTGTGACCCCAGGAAGTCACTTAACCTCTCTGAGCCTCAGCTTTCAGGTCAGGGTCACAGGTGGGGCACGCACCTGTTGGATAGAGGCTGATTGCTCGCTATGGCTGTGTGTGTGCACGTGCGTGCGCGTGCGTGTGCAGGTATGGACGGGGTGACCGTCTGGGACAAATTCGGGGATGTTGTGCTCACAGCGCGTGGGGTGGAGCTGCCATTGCTGCCTCCCGGCCAGAGTCGGAGAGATCAAAGGCCTCAGGCCAGTGTGGGTGGGGTGGGTGCCCGGGTGTCATACATATCAGCGATGCTTGGAGAGAAAAGGTGACCAGCACGCCTGGAGCTGAAGAGGACGGTCTGTGTGGTCAACCGGCCGTCAACACATCTGTTAGGCAGTGATGGACGGCCCTGGACGCTGGCCTGGCCCCTCCCCCCATCGCCACCCTCATTTCCAGAGATAACGGAGGTTGCTGGTGATTACTTAGGAGTGAGTGATGCCATCACCCTTTGTGATCTGTTGACACGGCGGTGTGCGGGCTCCGTGCTGGGCACCACTGGCCTGGCAGCCAGAGGTCCGCTCGTGGAGCTGTCGGGCAGGGAGGTGGCCACTTCAGAGTAGCAGGTGCGGAGGGAAAGCCATCACAGGGGCAAGAAACGGGAAAAGCTCCAGGGAGCGGGTTTTGCTCCCGCCCATCCAGGCAGAGCAGCAAGCAGAACTGAGGTCCCCCACCCCGCTCCCCGTCTCCTGCAGCCCGCGCCCCCGCCCCCCCAATCTTCCTGCAAGCCTGGAGCAGCTGCTCCCGCGTGGCTGTCGCCGGGTCCGCAGCCCCGGCATGGGGCTCGCGTTTCTAATTGGCGCTTTCCCAGGCTGTGGTCATCGCTGCCCAGCGGGAGCCGCGCGGGGAGCCTGCCCTGTGGGCCTCTGCACTCGGCCTCCCTGTGCGTGGCTTTCTTTCGGTTCTCTCTTTGAAGCGGCCCCTTCATTCTATCTGTGTCATCTCTCTGCTGCCATCTTATTAGGGAAAGCTGAGCCCTCACCCCCGGGGGTCCCGCATTGTCCTCCTCCTCCCAGAAAGCACCGAGCTGCAAAACAAAACTGTCAAAAGGCGCATTCTGCCTGCTTCCCGGCTGGGGTGGGGCGGCGCACGTGGCTGCGGGCAGTGAATAGGGCAGCAGTGGGACCCCAGCTTCGCAGACCCTGAGAGAAGGGGCGAGTCCAGCAGCAAGAACCCAGTGCTTGGGCGTGAAGGGTTTTGAAGGCTCATTAATATTCAGTGCCTCCTTCCCACGGCAGGGAGGGGCAGGATGCTAATTAATCACTCGGAAGGGCAGCGTTGCCCCCAGCCCACGCAGCACTTTTAATCAACAAGTCTCCCGACGACCTTTCGCCACGGGGGTGATAGATAACCAAGGGGCTGCTCGTCCTCCCAGGGATTCCGCCGCAGCCCTGCAGTTACAGGGTCGCTCCCAGCTCAGAAAACCCACGCGGCTTGCCACAAAGAGCCGGCACTACAGAGACCATGACCACTTGCTCGTGTGACAAACCTCTTAAGGTGCCTCCCATGCACCTGGGGCGGGGAGAGGCTCCGGGTGGGGGGACAGTGGGGGTGGGAGCAGCCACAGCCCTCTCCTCTTCAGGGAAAAAATACCTGGCCGGGCATTCTCCCACACCAGGTGCCTGGGCCCGCTGTGCTGCCTGTGTGTCCTGCTGCACCTGCTACGAGCAGCCCCCTCGGGTAGCACAGTCGTCACTTCTGGTTTACAGCTCAGAAAACCACGCGTTGGAACTGACCGGTCATCCGTCCCCAATCACCACTGCCCAAGCCCACGTTGCACCATCACCTCCTTTGCCCATGCTGTCCCCTCTCCTAGCCCTGACTCCGTCCCCCTGCAGCATGGCCGCAGCCTCAATGCACCACCCTCTGTACCCACACTGGCCCCCCCATCATCACGTCCTTGTTGGACTGCGCGTCCAGGAGGAGGTGGACGAGAGCGGCCTTGGTCTGTGGCTTGGAGCTGAGTGTTCACAGCCTTTCTGGTGACCTTTGCATGAAGGCCCAAGGGCAGCCCTCAGCCGGGCTGAGGTTGGAGGTGACGTCTTCACCACCTCCGTGACGGGCTGCGGGAAGCAAGCCCCAGGCGTGTGCACCTGCCGGCGTGGCAGCTCTCAGACTGGCCAGGGCCAGGGACCTGCAGCCTCCCCGCAGGGGGCCCAAGTCCCACTTCTTCTCAAAGCTGTCCCCTCAATGGGGTGACACATGCCCCAGTCCTCATCCTCCAGGCTGGTCAGGCCACTGTGGGTGCTGGCGGCACAGGAGAGGTCACAACGGCTTCCACAGCGGGGACGTTGTCCTGGGTGGATACAGGTGTGGCTTCGGGAGGAGGACTTGTCCCCCGACCCCGTCCCTGGATGGCTCTCAGAACGGGCCTTCCTGCAAGTGACATGTTTGGGGTTTCGTTGGCAACACCAGGGTGGGGACAGTCACCTGCGCCCAGGGGCCGAGCTCGCCTGGACCTGCGAGGGAAGAAGGATGGGCCGCCAGGCCCTGCAGCCATGGCCAGGGCTCAGCCGAGAGGCCCTGGAGGGCCGAGTCCGCAGAGGGTTCCCCCGGCACGGGCAGCCCCTGGGACGGGGAGCTCACCCCAGGAGCAGCGCCCCTGCCCCTGGCCTTCGGGGGGAGAGAGGCTCGTTGCTCCTCCCCCGCTGGGGTGCATGGCCCACAGGAGGGGGCTGGTGCAGGGGCGGCTGGTGCAAGCCAGAGCAGCCCATTAAGGCACAGGCCGATCGATACTGGCAGCAGTTGGGGGGGCTAAAAGCCTCTCCAGGCCCCGAGAGACAAGACAGGGGGCTGTCTGGATCCCTCTCTGGACGGAAGCAGCGCCCAGGCTGCGAGGGGGCGGGGCGGCAGCGGTCGGCGTCCCTGGAGCCCACCCCGGGCCCTCCCCAGCCCAGCACTGGAAGGCGCTCGGAGGAATCTCAGGGTTCCCATTTGGCAGACGGGAATCCCGAGAGCTGAGAGGGGAAAGGTGTGCCTGAGCTCACGGCTCCGCCTCCTGGCACAGCTGTCTCTCCTCCAAGGCCTACAGATCTGACCGTCTGGGTCGTTTCTCTGTTTTGTTTTGTTTGTTTGTTTGTTTGTTTTGACAGGCAGAGTGGACAGTGAGAGAGAGAGAGAGACAGAGAGAAAGGTCTTCCTTTGCTGTTGGTTCACCCTCCAATGGCCGCCGTGGCGGGCGCACCACGCTGATCCGATGGCAGGAGCCAGGTGCTTATCCTGGTCTCCCATGGGGTGCAGGGCCCAAGCACTTGGGCCATCCTCCACTGCACTCCCTGGCCACAGCAGAGAGCTGGACTGGAAGAGGGGCAACCGGGACAGAATCCGGCGCCCCGACTGGGACTAGAACCTGGTATGCCAGCGCCGCAAGGTGGAGGATTAGCCTAGTGAGCCGCGGCTTTGGCTCGTTTCTCTGTTATTAAGGACACCAGTGACATAACCCCCTGGGAGGCGCTGATTACCACCGGGCTGCCCCAGTGCTGGCCCAGGGTGGGCGCGGCGCTGGTGGTTGTTAAGTGGCCCCCTGTCTTCTTACCCGCGGTGCACAGGTGAGTGACCTGGGGGTGAAACACCACCACGCCCGGGCTGCTGGGGCTCCTCGGTGCCAGGCATCAACATCCAGTTAAGACCCCACCCGCAGGAGGGCCAGGCGGCGAGGAGGGCGTCAGGGCTTGCTGGGTCAGGTGACTCAAGCCCCCCTCCCCCAGCCCCAGGGCTGCCTGTCCTGGTGCTGTTGCCTGGGGGCCCTGTGCGCCCCGAGTGGACCTTTGCCTTGGCCAGTGCCACCCTCTTACTGGGCAGAGCCCCTCTGTGACCTCACGGGACAAGAGGGTCTCCAGAGTCCTCCCCGCTGTGTCCCTCTAAGGTTTGGCCGGTCATCGCCATCTGGGCTCCAAGAGCATTCATGGAGCCCTCGTCGAAGGCCAGGCTCTGGGCCTACGGGCTTCATGGATTTTCGTGTCATCTTGCCGAGGGTCCCAACTCCGTCAAAGGCAGGCCCCACTGCTATTCTCGCGGTACAGGGGTCACCCTAGAGAGTGGCAGGACCGGGGTTGGTGTGATTCCTGCCACCCCTGGCACCTTCGGTTCCCAACCTCACCAGGTGAGAACAGGTGTGGCTTTGCTGCTGTGGAGGGACCCTGTCCGTGGCAAGGGTGGGGCTAAGGGCTTAAGCGAGAAGCTGCGGGCGGCCAGTCCTTGGGGGACCCTGCCACTTGGCCTCTCTCCTGTTCCTCTACTGCCCAGGCACGCTCAGCGAGGACCACGGAGCGGCCATCTCACTGTGGGTGCAGAGGGGGCTGTGGAGAGAAGGCCCCCACGTGGGTCCCCAGGGATGAGCTCCCAACCTGCCAAGGAAACAGGAAGTAGGCGACGGACACTGCTGGCCTTGGCCTCCTCTCTCGTGTGTTGCCAAGTGCAACTCTGGGAGAGCCCGGCGCCCTCAGACCCCTACCCAGAGCCATTTCCCCAAATCAGATGTGTGCTGGAGGGGCCAGCATAGTGATATGGCAGTAAAGCCGCCGCCTGAGTCACCGGCATCCCTTATGGGCGCCGGTTCGAGTCCCGGCTCCTCCACTTCTGATCCAGCTTCCTACTGATGGCCTGGGAAAGCAGTGGAGGATGGCCCAAGTCCTTGGGCCCCTGCCATCCATGTGGGAGACCTGGAAGAAGCTCCTGGCTCCCGATTTCAACCTGTCCCAGCCCTGGCTGTTGCAGCCATCTGGGGGGGGGGGGCGCGAGCCAGCAGATGGAAGACCTTTCTTTCTCTCTCTCTCTAACTTTCAAATAAATAAATCTTTAAAAAAACAAATGCACGCCTGGGGAGGGCGCTGGGTGCAGTTAAGACGTCCCCTTGGGCTTGGGTTCCGATCCCAGCTTCACTCCCACTTCCAGCTTCCTGCTGAGAAGGCTCAAGTAATTGCACTCCTGCCCCCAATGTGGGAGACTCGGATGGGGTTCCAGGTCCTGGCTTTGTTCCAGTCCAGTCCTGGCCGTTACAGGCACTTGGGGAGTTACCAGTGGATGGGGGCTCCGCTGTTGCTCAGATAACTTTTTAATGGTGCATCGGTCAATGTTCCTCTAGGAGTAGAAAACAAGGCTTTGTAGGGTCAGCTGATTCCCAAGGAGTGGACATTACAGGGTTCTCCAGAGAGACACACAGGGACCTCAAAAACTTCATGGGAAGTGGGATTAAAAGATAGGTGTGGGCTCAGTGGTTAGGCACCCCCATCCCATGCTGGAGTGCTTAGGTTTGGTGCCTGGCTCTGCATCTGACTTCGGCCTCCTGCTGATGTGGACTCTGGCGCTCCATGGTGCTGACCGAATGGTTGAGTTCCTGCCACCCACATGGGGAACTTGGATGGGGCTGCAGGCTCCTGGCCTTGGCATTTGGGGAGTGAACTGGGCTATGGGAGCTGCGTCTCTCTCTCTTGAAAGCAAATTATTATTAAGTAACAGATAAGTTTATCTGGTGCAGAAACTTTGGAAATGCATGCAGTTTTATTTGTAACACGTTTCCATGGACTTCTGGAAGGCCACGCCCAGGAGAGGGGATTTGTTGAGGGAGCTGGCTCATGAGGTGGTGGAGACACCTACGGGCTGGAGACCCAGGGGCGCGGGGACACAGCTCTCACATGGGGCTGCCAGGGGCCTCCAGTGCAAGTCGGGGAGTCCACAGGCAGAACCTGGGCTGTGCTGGCTGAGCGTAGGAGAAAGGTGTCCCAATTCCAGGAGAGAGAGAGAGAGAGAGACTCATTTCTCCTCCTTTTCTTCTTCTTCTTTTTTAAAATATATATTTATTTTATTTGAAAGTCAGAGTTACACACAGAGAGAAGGAGAGGTGGAGATGCAGAGAGAGAGAGAGAGAGAGAGAGAGAGAGAGGTCTTTCATCCGCTGGTTCACTCCCTTGTTGGCCCCAATGGCCAAAGCTGCGCTGATCCGAAGCCAGGAGCCAGGAGCTTCTTCAGGTCTCCCATGTGGGTGCAGGGGCCCAAGGACTTGGGCCATCTTCCACTGCTTTCCCAGGCCACAGCAGAGAGCTGGATCAGAAGAGGAGCAGCCAGGTCTTGAACCAGCTCCCATATGGGATGCTGGCACTGCAAGTGGTGGCTTAACCCGTTGTACCACAGCGCTCCCCCACTTTTTCTTCCAGCCAGGCCCTCCGCTGAGTGAGTGGTGCCATCCACATTCCACACTGGCGTGAGGCTGAACCTTTTGTACTTGGTCCACAGACCCGGTACCCTGACAACACCAGCCTCCCTCGAGCCACCTCACGGACGCACCTGGAAGTGACGGTGCTCTGGTGCCCTTGGTCCAGTCCTGCTGACACCTAAGGGTGGCCATCCCAACAACCATCTCAGCAAACTCCTTCAGCTGCGATGGACAACCAGCCCCCGGAGGAGCCGCAGTGCAGCACTGACCCCACCCCTCCCTCCTGGGCTTCTTCCCCTCCCTGGGCACTGGGGTGCACAGCTCTGCTAATGTGGCAGAAACACACACTCCCCAAAGTGAGGGGAGGGTAGCAGAAGGCAGTGGGAGTACAGGGGCTTCCCTGGCAGTGGGGGAGGGTTAGGGAGCCCCCAAAATAAACACCCTCCAATCCTCAGTGCCCCTGGAAAACTTGCAACTGAAATTCCTGCCCAAAGACCCAAGTTTCTGCCAAATTCCACCCCAAACTACCAGTTTTGTTCTCAACCCCCTGGTGTCCAACACTGCCAACATGGCCCGAAGCCCAAACAGTGTCCAAATCCTATTGCTGTCTTCCCAGTGTGGGCGCTGCCTGGGCTCTGCTGGGCGGTTCTTCTGTGGGCTCGGGCAGGGCTGCTCTGGGGCTGCAGCAGGACACGAGAGCCGGGCACTCATCATGGCCAGCCTGGCCTGGCCAGCGCCAAGCACGGGCCTTCCCCAGCCCCCATGCTGCGTCACAGACCTGTGGCTGCTGAGCCGCACAGCGTTGAGTGCCCCCATCACCCCTCCAGGTGGCTCCCAGCCCTTCCTGCAGCTTTGGCGGCCTCTCCGCTCTCTCAGCGCCCCTTGGGGGAGCCTCCCTGCTGCTTCCTGACCCTCGTCCCCCGCTGCTGCTGGCCTCGAATGCCATGGTTTCCACGGGACTTGGCTCCCCAACACAAACAGATGCTGAAACCCCAAAATCACTAGTCGGTGGTGCTAAGGAGGTAGAAACAGCCCACTTCCCTTGACTGGGAGGTGGGCTTGGTGGGAGGGCCCTGGGTCCCAGGGGCACGTCCCAACTCTCCTCAGAGACCAAACCAGCGGACCACCGATCTTGGACTCGAACCTCCCACGCTGTGAGCTGAAGGCTTCTTTCTCCCTGTAAAGTTGGTTTTCTCAGGTGTTTTATGTCGCTGATTAACACACCTAGCTCTCTCTTGGACGTGGCCATTTCCCAGGTGTTCGCTTTAAACTCATCCCAGCGATGATGGTGGAAGTCCACACTCGGGCGCAGAAGCTCCGGGGCCATAAAACGTTGACAACAGTGGGGAGCTCGCCGGGTTGGACTGGAGACTGCTGGTCCTCACCTCGGGGAATGCGCCAGGTGACCTTTACTTCCTGGAAGTGGGTTTTGGACCTGGGTCCCCCAGAACGGGGAGATGACAAGTGTGGGTTGCGTGAAGCCACCAAGCACACGGTGGCCTCAGGAAGCAGAGGCTGTGGCCAGAAGAGAGGCTCCGGGGCACAGGGGAAGGGCCCACTGGAAGCTCCACTGAGCCCCGGGGCTGGGGGGGGGGGGGGGGGGACGTGCCTGCCTCTTTGCCTTGTCCTGCAGAACCAGGCTTCACTGAAACACACAGACGCACACCCCGCCCCTCCCCACGTCTCTGCACCGTGCTCCCTGCTGTCCCTGTCACCCCTCACGTGTCCCCTCCTCCACACGCCCTTATTCTACCCAGGGTTTGACGTCATGGCCTCCAGGAAGCTCTCTTTGCCCCACCAGGGGCTGGGGCTCCAGGGTGGGGGGTTCTGTGTGTGCCTCCCCTGTGACCCCAGTGGCCCAAGTAGCACTCACCCCCATCGCTGCCCCACGCGCCAGGGTGCCAGCACTCCGAAGTGGGGCCCATCTTTCCTTTACCTCTGGACGCCCCAGTGCTCCAAGGCCAGGAAGAACGGCACTGAAATGGGGAGACCGCAGGAGTTACCTGGGGCGGCAGTACGCACAGCTGTGCGGTCACTGTGTGCCCACTTTCTCGTCTTGCCGGGAGGGGGCAGGGCCAGGAGGCTGGAGAAAGGGCAGGGCCAGCACCGAGCCACGTGAACACTCCGGGATGCAGAACTCACACACATCAGCAGATCTCGGTGTCCAGGGAGAGCTGGAGTCACTTGTCAAAGGGAAGGAGAGCTACTAAGTGCAGGACAGAACATTCTGGAAGGTTGTAGGGAGCGCCAGACATGCTACTTCCATGCAAATTAGCCGGACGCTCGAGCAGACAGAGCAGAGAGGCGTGTGTTTAAGGGGTTGGCTCGGGCTGCCTCGTACGTCCAACCTGGCTCAGGAACCTGCCAGAAAGGTGAGCTGGAGCCAGGCCAGGTGCGGTGGCTCAGCTTCTGGCAGAACTTGATGTGACTGGGTGGGGAGGGGACAATGTCCGTGGCATTCTGAATCTACCGGAGAACTTGACCTGTGTGCCCCGGGAGCCCCCGCAGCAGGGGTGGTCTCTGGGAGGAGACGGGAAATGACGCTGGGTCATGCCTGACCTGCAGCACACTGGCTAGGGTCCTCCTGGGACTCGGGGTTGGGGGAGGCGCTTCCAACCCA